ACAGTACACACGCCCCCTCCATCCCCCGTTCCCCCCCCCCCCCTCCCCCCCCCCTTCCCCCCCATACCCCGTTACCCCCCCACCCCTCCATACCCCGTTACCCCCACACCGTACCCCCCTGTCACTTTCTCCCTCCATCCCCTGCCCAAGCACCACTTGTCGTTGCCATGGTAACCGAGCTCACACCCACAACGGCCCTCGTTCGGGAAGGGAGGGAAATGTCGGACCCGACAGCGGCTGGCGAGCGGACTGAGGATGCGGTCAGTACCGGGTACTCACGGGCTGTGTGTGTACTGTGTCTGAGCCGGTGACGGGGGGCCGCCTTCCCCAGCGTCGCTGCCTCCGGGACACTTTCCGAAAAACTTTCACCATGGAGCCGCCGACGCGACGGCGTGCCCCAAGGCTCAGGAAGCTCGTGCCCGGGAATGCAGCCAGTTCGCAACTCGAAACCTTCAGTAAGTTGTAACGTGTCAGTGCCGCTGCCAAGCCACTGCGGCAACTGTGATGGACAGCTCCTGACACAACTGACGGGAACAAAAGTTTCACCTTATTGTTATTCACTCCCACCAATGCCCTAAGGATTGGAGAGAAAAAACATGGAATTAGGATCTCATGAGAACGAGGCACATTAGTAAATGATTGAAACAAATTAAGTTACTGTATGTTCATTTGTTTTATTTAAATGAAAATGAGTCAGTGCAATTTTGTTGATCTAGTAACACTTCTTATGGAATAAAATTAAATAGCATAGGAATAAATCTTTTTATTTTGTAATAGAATCGTTACTTTTGCTCACGTTTGACGTAGGTTTCTGGATTATTTTATGTCTTTGAAAATAGGTTTACTATTGCTAGGGTAATTAATGTCTATGGTGTAATTTCACCCAACAATTTTCACGCAACAAGGGTGTCACTTTAGAAGGGCAAAGCAAATTAGGAATTGTGACACTCGTGTCAGTTCACCAACTCAAAACTTTTCAGCCCTCTTCTGGTAGGTTAGTAAGATCCCGCTTTACGTGCACATGTTGTTTTCGACTGCAATTCTCTCCTGACTCCACGCTCACTACCCCATCCCCTTCATGGGATGTGGGTGGCACTGACAAAGCCAGCATTTGTTTGCCTAGGACTGAGTGGTTTGCTAGTCAAGAGGACTCTCAAGAGTCCAAATCAGATGTATTCCAGGGAAAGACAGCAGATTTCCTTCCCTAGAAGTCGTTAGTAAACAGTTTATCTTTTGTTTTAAAAGTAGTAATCAATGATAGTTTCCATGGCCACCATTGCTGAAGCCAACTTTATATTCCCAGATTTATTAATTACTGTTTAAATTTCCTAGTTGTTGTAGTGCAATTTGAACCCGTGTCCCCAGAGGATTAGCCTTTGGAATATAATCCCGCGACGTGACCCTTACACCATCACCTTCACCTTCCCCATGTTAACTTTATTGTAAAAGCACGAGTTCCTAGTAATGTTTCTTAAAATCAGGAATTATAAGCTACATTGCTTAATAGGTTTAATTGCAAGAAGTCAAGCCAGGAGATCCGAAATCTGTCCTGGCTGTTGCAAATCAGCTGATGGGTAAAAAAGAATGTTACCGTTGAAATTAAAAATGAGGAAGTCAGCAAAAAAAAAATCAGCTCCTCATTGTTATTCCGGTGGAGAAAGCTCTTCCAGCACAAGTAAAATACTGGCATCAACTCAACAAAAAGAAATTGGACAGGGATATGTTGTTTGCAAAAAACTGTGCAAATCCAAACAGGCAAATTACCATCCTATCAGCCTAAACATTGGTAAACTATTGAAAGCATTTAGAATTATTTATTTTTGGTTACTTTCTTCAAATGAAAATGGGTCAGCTGAAGGGTGAGATTTCTCTGGTCTCCCAGTAACTCTTTTTGAATGTCACTTATTGCAGAGGTGTCACTAACATTACCGTTAATCAGTACTTAGTCAAATGGCTCACTAGTGATCAGTTTGAGTTTCATCAGGACTACTTGGTTCCAGACTTCATTAAAGTCTTGGTCCAGCATGAAATAAAGATCTGAATTCCAAGAGTACAGTGAGTGATTACCCTTAATATCAAAGAGGTCTTGAGAGATTAAAGGCACTGGGGTGGCAGAATTTTCCATTGGTTGGAACCACACCCAGCACAAAGAGAGATGGTTGTGGTTGTTGAGCACAATTATCTCAGGCCCAGGACATCACTGCAGGAGTTCTTTAGGTTAGACATTAGACAACTTATTCAGAAATGTTACTACATACCTCCAGAACAGTTGAGACTCAAACCTGGGCCTCCAGGTTCAGAGGTAGGGACAATATTAATATGCCCCATGAACTCCAGTTCTTTGGGTTAATGTGCTAAGCCTAACCATCTTCAGCTGTTTTACCAATAACCTTCCCTCCATCATTATGTCAGAATCATAGAATCTTAAGATGTCTATGGCACAGAAAAGACTACTTGGCCCACTGAGTCAGCACCAGTAGAAAAACAAGCCACCCACCCTAATCCCATTTTCCTATATATTATCCATTGCCCTTCAGGTTACAGAACTTGAGAGGCATATCCAGTCAGCTTTCAAATGAGAATTTCTGCCTCTATTACCCTTTCAGGCAGTAAGTTCAACATAACTGGGACACCCTGGGTGAAAAAGAAATTCCTCATCTCCCTTCCGATCTTTCTACCAATCACGTTAAATCTGTGATAACACAGCAGGCCAGGCAGCATCAGAGGAGCAGGAAAGCTGATGTTTCAGGTCAGGACCCTTCTTCAAAAATCGGGGAGGGAGAAGGGAGCCGGGAAATAAATAGAGAGGAGGGGTGGGGCTGGGGAAGGTAGGTGGGATGGTGATAGGTGAGTGCAGGTAGTGAGTGATGGGGATTGCTCAGTGAGGTGGGAGAGAAGATGGACAGGTTGTGTCAGGTCAAGGAGGTGGGGATGAGATGGAGGGTTGGATGTGGAATGAGGCCGGGGTGTGGAGATTTTAAAACTGGTAAAATCCACGTTTAGACTTTTGGGCTATAGGCTCCCAAGGCGGAATACGAGGTGTTGTTCCTCCAGTTTGCGGGTAGCATCATTGTGACACTGGAGGAGGCCCAGGATGGACACGTTGCCCAGGGAGTGGGAGGGGGAGGTGAAATGGTTCGCGACCAGAAGGTGTTGTCGTTTGTCGTGAACAGAGTGCAGGTGCTCTACAAAGCGGTCTCCCAGCCTCCGCTTGGTCTCACTGATGTAGAGGAGGCCACATCGGGAGCAGCAGATGCAATGGACCAATTGGTGGATGTGCAGGTGGACCCCTGTCTGATATGAAAGGTTGTTTGGTACCTTGAATGGAGGTGAAGGGGGAGGTATAGGGGCAGGTGTTGCAATCCCTGCGGTTGCAGAGAAAGATGCCAGGGCTGGTGAGGCTAGTGGGGAGTGGGGAGTGTGGAGCGGGCGAAAAACTCGTGGAGACAGCGGTCCCTACCAAAAGCAGATAAGGGTGGGGAGCGAAATATATCTTTGGTTGTGGGGTCAGATTGTAGGTAGTGGAAGTGGCAGAGAATGATATGTTGGATACGGAGGTTGGTGGGGTGATATGTGAGGACAAGAGGGTTTCTGTCTTTGTTTTTGTTGGGGGAGGGGATGTGAGGACAGAGGTGCGGGAAACGCAAGAAACGCTGTTGTGGGCATTTTCGACCACCGAAATGGGGATGTTGCGGTCCTTGAAATAGGAGGACATCTAGGATATTTGGGAGTGGAACGCTCCATCTTGGGAGCAGACGTGGCGGAGGCAGAGCAATTGGGAATAGGGGATCACATTCTTGCAGGAAGGTGGGTGAGAGGAGGTGTAGTCTAGGTAGCTGTGGGAGTCGATGGGCTTGAAATAGATGTCGGTTTCAAGGCGGTCACCAGAGATGGAGACAGAGAGGTCCGGGAAGGAGACAGAGGTATCTGAAATTGTCCAGGTGAATTTGAGGTTGGGGTGAAAGATGTTAGTAAAGTTGATGAACTGTTCAAGCTCCTCGTGGGAGCACAAAGCAGCACTGATACAGTCATCAATGTTGCGGAGGAAGAGTTGGGTGATAATGCCAGCGTAGAAGCAGAAGAGGGATTGTTCCACGTATCCTACAAAGAGGCAGGCATAGCTTGGGCCTATGCGGGTTCCCATGGCCACCCCCTTAGTCTTTAGGAAGTGGGAGGAGTTGAAGGAGAAGTTGTTAAGGGTAAGGACGAGTTCAGTTAAGCGGATGAGGGTATCAGTGGAGAGGGACTAGTTGGGCCTGCGGGAGAGGAAGAAGCAGAGGGCTTTTAGGCCATCTGAGTGGGGGATACAAGTGTACAGGGATTGGATGTCCATAGTGAAGATGAGGTGTTGGGGGCCAAGGAATTGGAAGTCTTGGAGGAGATGGAGGGCGTAGGTGATTTCTTCACTGATTCAAATGCTAACGTAAACAGGTTTGTCCCATCCACTTTATTGAGGCCCCTCATAAGTATGTATATTTCAACTCAAATCTCCCTTTAGCACCGTCTGTTCTAAGTAGAACAACCCCAACCTGCCAATCATTCCTCATAGCAGCAGGGAGGATGTTCACTGATAATTGATCAGTATTTAGTTCCATGCACAACTCCTCAGATACAGTTAGCAGCCTGTACTGACATCAGCAAGTCTTAGACAAGATGTAGGCTTACACTGATAAGTAACAAGCACCATTCATGTCACATAAGTGCCAGGTGATTACCTTTCCTGGCAAAAGGGAATTAAATTATCTCACCTTGTTGTGAGATAATTAAACTTCTCACCATCAACATCCTACAAGGCTACCATTTGTCAGAAAGTTAACTAGCTCAGCTATATAAATACAGTGGCCACAACAGCAGTTCAGAGTTGTGAACACTTTGGTGAATGACTGCAACTCTTGTTCCACTGTTCCTGTTCCTGCTGCTGCCGCTGCCTACAAGGCTTAATTCAGGAGTGTGATGAAATACTCTCCAATTGCCAGGATGACTGTAGTTCCAAAAACACTTGAGAAACTCAACATCATCCAGACAAAGCCACCAACTTGATTGGCACCCACCCCTGAGGCACAGCAGTAACAGTGTGTACCAGCTCCAAAATGACTTGCAGCAACTTGCTTTTGGCATATTTTCCAAACCCACATCCTCTACTATCAAGAAGGACAAGGACAGCAGGCACAGGGAAGCTAGTCACCCCTCCAAGACACACATCAACCCAACTTCAAACTACATCACTGCTTCTTCACTGTTTCTAGTTTAAAAGCCCTGGAACTCCCTTTCTGTTGAATCACATATGAATTTCAGCAGTTTAATAATGCGGGTCATCAACATCTTCTCAAAGGATGAGCAAAAACTCCTGGCCTTGCCAACCATGTTAACATTC